TCATACTTCCGATATAGGTTATAGCGAAATTTTTATGGTCGCCGTAACCATTAAGTTAAATTCCGCGACTGGAGATCACTAAGAAAAATAATCCACTGTATGGGAAGATGTATGTATAATGATCCTTTTCAATACTATAGCTTTACAGAAGAGAGAAGCAACGACATGATAACGTAACTAGCAGTTTTCTCCTCTTCAACACTATTTCTTCACAAGACATCTTTTAAGATTTTCACTTGAGCACAACATCAAAGAAAAAGATCGATTATTTAGATCTTTGAATTGCTATGTTATTTTTTGCTCAATATTAAAACTTTAACATAGACTGTATAATACAAATCGCAGCAGAAGAGCCAGAAGTAAAGATAATGAGAAACAGAAAATGGAGAAGGCGGAACGATACAAAAAACGAAAGGAACGTGTGAGCGAAGACGAGTCTTTAATGAATTTTTTATTATCGCGAATTTCTCTTGCAAGAGAATAAAATTCTGTGATGAGAGCAGGCGTACCGTACGCGCGTTCGAGATGACAGATAAGTTTGTTTATAGTAGAAACTCGAGACAAACACGCGATTTGTAATTGAATTCGACATTAATTTGTACAAGATTTCAAGAATGTTCCAAAGTAATAGAACGTCGCGCGAAAATAATGCCGAAATATAGTTTAACAGGAAATTGAATTTTAAAGTATAAGCTGCGCCAGGAAGTTGGCGTTTTCCAACTTCGGAATAAGATAGCAGCACATTAATAATTTTCTTCCCTTGAAAATGTTACGGCTTACGAATTCTGCAAGTACTAATTCCCTGAAAACTGCTATGCTAAGGAGCCTTATATATTCGGAAGCTAGGATATTTACATACTGTTGCTGCACCCGTAACATTACAACAGAGCGTCTACAAATTTTTCTGGTATCTTACGTAATTATTTCACGAGCAATTAACTTCATAATTAGATTATGCTACTCCCAACTCGGCCGTTTCATCCGATCGGCGAGCAAATTATTGAATTAGACAGTGCAACTAGGGCTACGTGTGGATAGAAGATATGATTAAATAATGCTGACTGTATCAGTTATACTATAGCGAGTGTGCAAATTCAACGACATAGCATTCCATATATTTACCGGACAATAGCGCAGTCGCCACGATAAGGGCAATTTTGACTGCAGCCAACGTGCACGATAATTGGGAAATAAAGCCCGGCTTAACGCTATCTTCGAGTCCGATCGTTTGTCCAAGTAGCGCTTTAATGCGTTCAATTCTCGTGACTTCGATCCTTCGTTATCGTTTCGCGGCACGTGCAAAACTTTCGTGTCAAAATTCCACGGAGCTTAGCCAGAATAAAAAATGAAATAACCTGTTTCAAGAAGGATAATCGACATAGCAATAAATTACATAGGCGTAGGACTAGCACAGGGAAATTCGCAGCAACCTGAAATTTCGAATTTCCGGGAGAAAATACTGTAATTCGTAATTATACTCTAATTGCATTGTAACTGAATTGAATGGAGATCTGACTTACGAATCACAAACTGATTGGATTATTATGTTTTGGCATCGATTGAACGTGGCGGTGTTTTGGGAGGAAAGGAGATGGGACGTTTTCTCTTCGGGGACCCGCTAGAGGACTCATCGGTAAGTCTGTCCTAACGGGCCCTTGCCTTAGACGTTGGGGGACGTCGGTAGGAACGATGAAGTCTGTATATACAAATAAACATATATACAAATTGAGGCGGATCGGTTATTTGCGGAAAGAGGAGCCATCTGTTGGCGGGTCTGGAGGTAACCGCCACAATGTAACTGAATTACTTTGTAATTATAATCCCTTGAGTAATTCAATTGTAATTCCGCAGAACTCTGACTCGTTTAAAAATTTCGAACGTAATAATGTGTGTTTTGAAATCTCAAATTTTTCTAGGTTAAATTTTTTCTTGATTAAAAACATTTAATTAAAACGAATATTTCGAAAATTAATGTGTAATGCATATAACCATACGTTACGTGCACTGGTATCACGTGTTAGGTGTTCACGATGCGTTCAAATCACTGTCGCTCGCATGTCAGAATTACGTTTCCTTGGGAGGCCGCGCGATACGAGCGACGGTGTGTAATGTTCCCTATCTATTGGGAGAGGATACCGTCTGATCCACTTTTCTCGCAAACTGTCGTAAACCCGCGCCTCCTGGCGCACTACGGCAGACAGTACAACATGTTCCGTATCAGGATATCGAGAAACAAAATGGAGCGGCGAGTGTGGGATGCGGGCGTCTTTCGAGGCAACAAAGTTTTCGTGCGTCCGTATATTTTTCTATCCCGCTTATATAACCTTAAAGCCGAATGCTCCGTGGAGATTACCTGTCAGGATACGTATTTCCCGGTGGCGAGATTTCTGCCCGATCCACGGAAGGGCGAGAATACTTCGATGGCTACGGAGAATAACCCTTAAACGCGTCCCCCCTCTTATTTCTATTTGAACACCCCCTATTGTTGTCCCAATCGCAATCGAGGTGTCGTAATAGAAAAAATTCTTGCCGAAATATTTCTCGCGACCATATTTTTTTTATCTCGTATATCTATTAAAATCGAGTCGTGCTTAAGTCGATTCGGTAAAAATATTGGTACAATTTGTTTCTTATATGTTTCTGTATTTTNGTAATTATTTCACGAGCAATTAACTTCATAATTAGATTATGCTACTCCCAACTCGGCCGTTTCATCCGATCGGCGAGCAAATTATTGAATTAGACAGTGCAACTAGGGCTACGTGTGGATAGAAGATATGATTAAATAATGCTGACTGTATCAGTTATACTATAGCGAGTGTGCAAATTCAACGACATAGCATTCCATATATTTACCGGACAATAGCGCAGTCGCCACGATAAGGGCAATTTTGACTGCAGCCAACGTGCACGATAATTGGGAAATAAAGCCCGGCTTAACGCTATCTTCGAGTCCGATCGTTTGTCCAAGTAGCGCTTTAATGCGTTCAATTCTCGTGACTTCGATCCTTCGTTATCGTTTCGCGGCACGTGCAAAACTTTCGTGTCAAAATTCCACGGAGCTTAGCCAGAATAAAAAATGAAATAACCTGTTTCAAGAAGGATAATCGACATAGCAATAAATTACATAGGCGTAGGACTAGCACAGGGAAATTCGCAGCAACCTGAAATTTCGAATTTCCGGGAGAAAATACTGTAATTCGTAATTATACTCTAATTGCATTGTAACTGAATTGAATGGAGATCTGACTTACGAATCACAAACTGATTGGATTATTATGTTTTGGCATCGATTGAACGTGGCGGTGTTTTGGGAGGAAAGGAGATGGGACGTTTTCTCTTCGGGGACCCGCTAGAGGACTCATCGGTAAGTCTGTCCTAACGGGCCCTTGCCTTAGACGTTGGGGGACGTCGGTAGGAACGATGAAGTCTGTATATACAAATAAACATATATACAAATTGAGGCGGATCGGTTATTTGCGGAAAGAGGAGCCATCTGTTGGCGGGTCTGGAGGTAACCGCCACAATGTAACTGAATTACTTTGTAATTATAATCCCTTGAGTAATTCAATTGTAATTCCGCAGAACTCTGACTCGTTTAAAAATTTCGAACGTAATAATGTGTGTTTTGAAATCTCAAATTTTTCTAGGTTAAATTTTTTCTTGATTAAAAACATTTAATTAAAACGAATATTTCGAAAATTAATGTGTAATGCATATAACCATACGTTACGTGCACTGGTATCACGTGTTAGGTGTTCACGATGCGTTCAAATCACTGTCGCTCGCATGTCAGAATTACGTTTCCTTGGGAGGCCGCGCGATACGAGCGACGGTGTGTAATGTTCCCTATCTATTGGGAGAGGATACCGTCTGATCCACTTTTCTCGCAAACTGTCGTAAACCCGCGCCTCCTGGCGCACTACGGCAGACAGTACAACATGTTCCGTATCAGGATATCGAGAAACAAAATGGAGCGGCGAGTGTGGGATGCGGGCGTCTTTCGAGGCAACAAAGTTTTCGTGCGTCCGTATATTTTTCTATCCCGCTTATATAACCTTAAAGCCGAATGCTCCGTGGAGATTACCTGTCAGGATACGTATTTCCCGGTGGCGAGATTTCTGCCCGATCCACGGAAGGGCGAGAATACTTCGATGGCTACGGAGAATAACCCTTAAACGCGTCCCCCCTCTTATTTCTATTTGAACACCCCCTATTGTTGTCCCAATCGCAATCGAGGTGTCGTAATAGAAAAAATTCTTGCCGAAATATTTCTCGCGACCATATTTTTTTTATCTCGTATATCTATTAAAATCGAGTCGTGCTTAAGTCGATTCGGTAAAAATATTGGTACAATTTGTTTCTTATATGTTTCTGTATTTTCAATTTTTCTGAAAGTGTGACGATACTAAACGGAAGCTTGAATTGGAAGCTGTCAATATAAAAAATTTATGCAAATCAAAGGAAACTATTTAATGATATCATAATTGTAAAGATATATCTATAAGTAGAATAGCTTCGGGCCAATAAGATTATGAACGCAAGGTGTACGAGCGAGTGCAGTCACGACGTCTTTCATGAATAATTTAACAATCGAAGGAGGAGATAAGATTTAGAAGTAGGTATGTATGACGTAAAATATATATATATATATATATATATATATATATAATTAAGAAATACGGGAAAATTGATACAGTTGCAAAAGTTTTAGTCCGTGCAGTGTGCTCAAAACTGCTACGTGTGTAATATATATATATTACGAACTGTTACAATGTAGAAAATAATAACATGGTTCTTTTTGATCTGAACATAAATAAATTTTACGAACATCGTGTATTCACATCTGTTTAATGGAAATATTCAAACTGCGGAAGCACTTAAGCATAAACTGTTTATACTGCATATATATCACTTTGCGATTAGATACGATAGTGCTTACAAAAATACCGGAGCGAAAATATTATGTTGATTATAGTATCAAGGAATTCGATAACATGAGCATTCTGTCTATATTATCAAGTGTGTCTACTGATTCGTTTATAGTGTACAAATAATCATGCTGTTGACAGCGTCGTTGGGATCAAGCATTCTACTATTTGTCGTGGCGTGAGTACTATTTTTATTTGTAATAAAATAGAACACAGTTTCAAGTCATGCAGATAGCTATTTATAATCCGTACAGATGAATAAAATGCCTTCACAAGATTCTCGTCCCTTTTTGTAATTGTTCTGAGATTGTCAGATAACAGCAATAAAGAGTGCTATTCAAAACTTAAAATTAAATTCTCTGATCTCTGTAAAAGGCAAACTACTTAACAGGATATTTAAAGTAACAAAGTAAATATAGAAGATTGAAAAGATTACGCACGATTACTTTTACGTTATGTGTTAGTTGTGATATATTTTTTTCCGTTTTTTTTTTTTTTATGGAAACCGACCACTGTGCAGCAGTCCATTCAATCGCTAAGTTTCCTTAAACTTGCTCTTTCTAGTTCTGCAAATGGCGAATTTGCGGAGGAGAATGAGGAATATCTAAGGTTCCCAGCGAACTTTCTCCTGGGAGCTGCAACAGCCGCATACCAAATAGAGGGAGCTTGGAACGTGAGCGGTGGGCCCCTCAAATTCAAATGTAGCGATTCTGTACTGAAAACTTTTCTAACGTTTTTTTCCGAATCTTGAAAGCGTAGATAAAGGAGAAAGTGTCTGGGATCGATACTGTCACCTCAAAGATGGGCGTATCTTTAACAATGACACGGGCGACGTTGCCGCAAACTCTTATTACCAATACAAAGAAGACGTAGCTTTGTTGAAGAAACTGGGGGTAACTATACTCTTTCTTATTTTTCTATTTTGTTCAATCTCATGCAAATATCTTCATTTTTTCGTTTTGTCTCATTCATTTGCACATTCACCATTTCTGCTCTAATTATAAGTGCTAATTTATGTATCTATCTATATAAAAATATTGCGGAGAAACTGCGCATGTCGGCATTCTTTTTAACTTTAACATTAATTCATAGTTATTTAGGAGTAAAAACTATTAATAAATTGTACGCCATTATATTCGGAGAACTCTCCTCTACATTTTAAGTCTAATTAGAACTTTCTAACGTTTCTACTTTTCACATGTAATACTTCATTTTTGTCGAAAATTTTGAGTTTTTAGAAAAGTTTGTTTTTTCGAAATCTGAGAGTGATGGAACAATTCGGCTTTCGGATTCTTGTTCAGGGGGTGAAGCTCTACAAGAATTTTATAGTGGCTACAGGAAATCAGAGAAAAGCATTGATTTTGTCGGACAGTGTAATTTGTGTCAGGTGTAGAAGTATTTATCACGTATCACGCTTTCATTTCTAGTATGCTTATTTGTTATTATGTGTATAATACCTTTTGTCCATACCTTCACATCGTCGATAAATCTAAGAAACTCGAGGAAAGTACAAAATTGACAAATTTTTGAAAAGAGTTGGTTTAGTAAATATTTTCTAGAAATAATTCATTTAATATTTGTAAATTTGAAAAAATTTGTTTACTTATTTAGTTTCATTTGGCACAGAAAGCCTGTTATACGATGTTAAAAAGTCCACTTTCAATTGAGATGCCGTGATGATAAAGACAATAAAAACGCAATATCTATTCTACTCGTCTGCAATCCGAACAATATCTAAATTTCGTTTTTGGTTTGTCTCGACAACAGGTCGACTCGTACCGGATATCTTTGAGCTGGCCGCGACTACTGCCGACCGGGTTCTCGAACAAGATCAGCTCCGCCGGTGTCAAGTATTACAATGATCTGATCGATCAGCTTTTAGCAAATGGGATTGAGCCGTTGATTACGCTATACCACTGGGATCAGCCGCAAATTCTGGAAGAATTCGGTGGCTGGCTGAATTCGGAAATGGTCAACTGGTTTGGCGATTACGCGAGAGTGGTGTTTAGGGAGTTCGGGTCAAAAGTGAAACGGTTCATACCAATAAACGAGCCGAGCGGCATGTGTAAAAGCAGCTACACGTACGGGGCCTATGCGCCTGGAAAGAAGCTCCCTGGTTTCGGCGAGTACCTGTGCACCCACAATATGCTGAAAGCGCACGCGACAGCCTATAGGATTTACCAAAATGAGTTCAAAGCAGCACAAAACGGTGAAGTGGGCTTTTTAGTCAACTTGTTCGGGTTTCTCCCAAAGTCACCAGGGGACACTGATTCGGTGAATACTGCTTATGCATTCAACGCTGGGTGGACCTTGAATCCGATTTATGGTGAAAATGGCGACTATCCGGACCTAATGAAAAGCAAGGTGGCGGAGAAAAGCAAACAGCAAGGCTACGAGAGATCTCGTTTGCCGGAGTTCAGTTCTTGGTGGATCGATAACATCAAGTATGATTACTAGTGATCTCAATTTTTTCATTAAGCTCATGAAATCATCTGTTGTACATTGGATTGGCGTTAGACAAACGACGAGCGTAACAGTTAAACAATAGCAATGGTAGTGGTGAACGTTTTTACATATATGCAATTATTGAATATGAAAGCATCAAGATGATGCTTGTGTCAATCACCCGTTAGTCAACGTAGCTATGAAATAAATCGAAGTGGGAAAGGTTATGGAATATAACTGTGCATTTAAATCTTTCACCTTTTTCAGGGGAACTGCAGACTTTTTGGCGGTAAACCATTATACTTCGAGACTGGTAGAGCCCGGAGACAGTAATCTGATACCATCTCATGACAATGATCAAGGCCTGGTATATGTTTCAGATCCCTCTTGGAAGACTGCAGCATCCCAATGGTTGAAAGTAATACTTGCAATTATATTTTCCACATTTAGTCAAATTGTCAGCATTCGTAGCCATAATTAGCATCTTATTTCATGATAATGATTCTCCAGCTGGTACAAAAAACGGTGAAGTTCATAATAAAAAGTTCATCATCGGTCTACTATGGTGATCCGTAGTTCACGCGCAATGCAGTTGTAGGTGATAATTATCACCATGGTAAATCTTAGCTTTTTAGTTTCTATTTCACAATCAACAAATTGTATCCAGTGTACGAAGAGGTTCGTGACTTTCGATGTACGGTTAACGTGTTGAAGATGTTCAATTTCGCATTTGAAAATTACGTCTCTCAAAATCAGATAAAAGTAGTTTTTCATAAACATCATTTATATATATTCAGAATTTTCAATCGATGCTGTTTCATAGTTTATGCCTTGAAAAAAAAAGATAAAACATATTTACTGCTATATTTCTCGTTATTATGGGATTGAAATAATTTGCAGAGCAGGTTACAAACAGGCTGTTACAAAAGCCATTTGCAATTGGGAAATGAGTGGATCAATGAGGTCATTTAAAGCAATTTTTTCCTTAACGGAAATGCAATCCGCGGCTTTGTTTACAAGTTATTAACGAAAAGCAGTGACCAATGAGAGACGAGCCCGGTTGATGCGAGGCGGCCGAGCCAACAAGCGGACAAAGTCCAGTTCCACTCAGTGGTTCGCGCCAGCCGAACTCGCTTCTCATTGGCCACTGTTTTTTGTTAACAACACGTATACAAAGCTGTGGGTTGCATTTTCTCGCTAAGGAAAAAATTACTTCAAATGAACTTAGGAAACCCTCATTTTCCGATTGCTTATGACTTTTGCGTATGGCTGATTTCAAGGAACTGTATTATTATTAATTATGAATGACAGGTGGCGATGATGTTGGAAACGAACCTTACTGAATTCACCAATGTTTCTTTCAGGTGGTACCCGAAGGCTTTCGTCAGATGCTTCGTGAATTGTCGAAATATGGCAATCCGCCGCTATACATCACTGAAAATGGTTTCTCCGACTTCGGAACTGTCAACGATACAGCCAGAATCGATTACTATCGTGCTTATTTGAAAGAAATGCTTCTAGCCATACATGTAGACGGCATTAATATTCGAGGGTACTACATATGGTCGTTTTTAGATAACTTCGAGTGGGAAATGGGATACAGGTATGCGTTTTATTTAGAATTCATATTGTCAGCATTCATATGCATTTATATGCATTATCACAATTAATGTTTATTATTATAGAGAACGATTTGGTATCGTGGCCGTTGATTTCAATGATCCGAAAAGACCACGAACAGAAAAACAGTCTGCCAGGTGGTGGAAGAACATTATAGCTACAAGGAAACTGGACACCAAACGGGTCCCAGAAATCAATCCAACAAATAATGTAGACGAATTATAGACGTAACATTCAAATCATTCTATGAATTAATGACAGGAGCGATGTGCACTCTGTCTGTTTTCGCTTCCATTCACATGATTTTCAAACATTGAAACAGGATTTTTTGCGACGATAGCGAAAACAAATAAATGTTCAAACTTAAATAAGTAAATTTTATAATTTGACTTTCGTGATACCTTTTACTTTCAATAAATGAATTTGATTAATCTGAATTCCTCTTGTTTATCTAAATTTTTCAATCGTTTAAAGTAGCTGACACCCTCTTCTAGCAGTCACCCACTCTGTCTACAAATATGTACGTATTAGGTTAGCAAGGAAATATTTTCGATTGTCACGCATAGAGAGCGTTGTAATTGTGTCTGAAAACCAAAATTACGTTCTTGCCAACCGAATATGTACCCACAAAGTGGTTTAATGGTATGTAACTTAATGGCATACTGATTGGGTATACTGATTGGGCATACTGATTGGATCTAGATTCTAGTTATGAGAGTGAACACATACCGTTTTATAATAAGTCTATAGTGCTAAACAAACAGTGAGTAACGTTAATATTTGGACATCTTTCAAAGCGGAATCATTTTTTAAAAATTGGACCAAATGACTCGAACATTTTCGAAATATTAGTTTATTAGATAACGATCGGTGCACTACTATTGGCCAATTATGCTTTGCTGGGCTTGATTGGGTAGTCGTTTATTCCAAGGTTTGAACCCCGTCCCTATTAGAAAATCGCGACGGCCATGGGTGAGATAAGGCGTTAGGCGCGACACGCTCGAGATAAGGATCAGGGCTGGTGTTGTAAATGTTCTAGTGCCTATCTCGTTTGTACAACTTTCTATGCAGCCGATCGACGTGAAAAAAGAAGGAGCGAGAGAGGGTAAGAAAATAACAAATCGGGCTTCGGCAAGCAGAATCTCCTGTAATTATCTGGTAGTGTTGCGCGTTCACCTTTAGGGGACGTGCTCGAAAACGTACGAAACAATCGAATACAGACGTGCGACGGTGGTGCATGTGCCTGCGATCGATGGCCTCTTCCCGAACGACACGATGATTTATAGGGAAGATACGTTTGATGCATTATCATGTATCAGCGGCGGCCGTGCGTCGACGTTGCAGCCGAGAAATGTCACGATTCATGCGAATCACGCATGGCTTTGTAACATTTTCAACCTTTCGAGACGGCTACGAAAAGCAGCAAAATTGATTTTCAAATGTTTTATTGGCTCGACTTCTCAAAACTTGTCGCGATGCATTGCTTTTATAAACTTTTCCGTATTTTCCAGTTTAGAAAATCATCTAACAACACACTTACAGTTTCTCGAAAGTGATAAGTGTATGGAAAAGTTTAAATCGTTTTAACATTCTCCAATTATTTTGTACTAATATGGTCCGGCATCATGCAGTTGTTACTGTTAAGGCTTTCAGATATAAAGTTCTCTGCTTATGCGACGTAATTTCTCTTGACGAAACTGGAAGAAACGCACTTAACTAAAGGAAACATTGAAGATAATAAAATATCCTAATAACATCAATACGGATAAAAACCATCACATGAACCCAATATGAGCTCACTCCTTATAGTTCTTTTTTTACTTTTCAGCAGACCAATTAAGAAATCTTTTTGATTGGTAATCATTAAACCGGAACGTGTGAATTATATATTATGTTAAATATATTCTCCACTATATTAAGTGGAACATCACCAGTGAAATACCAGTATCAATGTGTGTATGACATCTTGATAAAGCTAGCTGCAATGCTTGCGAAAAATGTTGGGAAAATAATTCCACCAGAGTACGACTTATACCCGAAGTCTCGACACAGTAAGAATTGTAAGAATGTATTTGTTGATGCTTGACAATCATCGTGTACGGAATATTCTACTCTCGAAAGCAAATGAGTCGAAAGATCTGTAAAAGTATAGGGTCTATAATTGCATGCCCTTCAAGAAATCAACGTTAGAATACCTCTGCTAGCATATTTGACTAAAAGAATCCCAAGACGAAACCTAATTGGTCGCAGTGTACAGAGCTCGTTGGAGTAAAAATAGCCGGAATCTAAGGACGGCTCGAGGATTCTCAAGGATCCTTGTCCTCAACTGTAAATATTACGCGTATATACATATAATATGCGCATGTATCCCGGAAATCCGTGCTTTGAAATCCCATGCGAGGGATTTGCTATCCGCTATTCGGAGAGCTGAGTAAATTCGAGGGACACCGGTCTAGGAGAAGTGGCGCTATATCCAGTTAATTTTATTACCGGCGGGGCGGAGGAGGGTGGCAACTAAACGCTCTGGGCGACAGCGTGTAGGCGGCCCGGGGCGGGGGAGGAACGAAAATAGAGAGAAATTACGGGAAAGAAAGTACGCGCGGCTGGTAGGCGCCGAGATGAAAAAGAGATTGTCGCGTTGAATATTCCGCGTACACTGGTTAATCCCAGCAGCAACGTTCGCGGACGGGATAGTTTGTTTGCGTTTGATATTTAAACTGCGGCTGATTGTATACCTTTATATTTTTTTCCTTAATAATTTCACGGAAAGTGGAATCATGGAAAAATATATTTTCATCGCTTCGAGACTTTGTTTCTAAAAAGCGTATGTGCGTTTAATTGGTTCATAGATAAATGTGATCAAATTGCTGTTCTCCATTTCAGAGATATTTTGGAATCATTTTTTAAAGTGTGTATAACAAACTTGTCATTATCCAGACGAGAACAGGTATTAAAATTGACCAGAAAGTTTGTGCGGTTTTCGACGCTTATTGAAGTTAGGCGTTCCAGTATGCAACTAATTTCAGTTCGTCTGTCTAAGGCAGATAGAAATGTAAGAAAGGAGATCCATTTTTCAAACGAATGGTGACGGACGATGATAAGTGGACTGTTTACAATAGTATTCAGTGCAAAAGGTCAGGACAAGGAACATCGCATGCAACGTTATGTGTAGATTGCGGATCTTATACGTTCATGGCAAAATTGGATAGTTGCAACTAAAAATGGTAGACACATTAAAAGGATTTTGAAATGTGTTAATGTATTACCTCTAATCTATTAAAATAATTAAAACAAAATTTAACTTGCTATTTAGTTTCCATTTGTTGCACTGTAATGTGTTATTTAATTTTAAATAGTATCGAGTTCAACATACTAGGTGAAAAATTTAAGTTAGCCTTGTTCAATGATTGTTGAAAATCAATGAAGCCAAATTAGCGAATAAAATAATCTAATAGCATCGTTGGAATGTAATATGACGTGCTGTTATACATAGACGCTTGCAATTATAGTTGCATTAATGACCTTGTTGTTTTCTTACTATTGAGTTCCCCTTATCTGAAGATAACAACGATATTTACGGAAGGTCATGTTACTATTGTATTCTAATGTAGACTACTGTATTTTATGACGTAATGTTTACAACACTGTCCGTTATCGACTGTTTCATACATATTGCGTTTCCACCATCTGCGCATCATTTAATGCTCTTCCTGTCTCTTATAACTATCATGATTATGCAGAATTTGATGCCATTAGCTTAAGGAATAATTAAGGAAAAGTAATTTTTATATTTAATTGTAAGAAGCAATTTTTAAACAATGGAACAGAAATCAATCATAGATACATTGAAAGTTACTGAATTCAGAAATGTGTTTTTAGATTATTAATCTGGAATGGAATTCGAATCTTGTATGCTCAATGTTTAACCGTTGCAAGAAGTACAGACATAAAACACGTATAAATATTTTTTATCCTCTTCTTCTTGCTGATATCTTGGTAGGGCATTTATTGGTAATAATTCTGTACGATATCATGGATCTTTGTTCTGTTTGACATATTCTAGATCCAATTTCATTCTTTTCTTCCGTCCTATGGATGGATCATTCATTAGGTAGGGACACCCATATAAGAATGATCGATTATCGACAAACTACCTACTGTACGAGTGCAGAGGATACCATACACGGAGACAAAAATATATACTGCTCCAAAACATGTCAGAAATATATCATAAATTATCTAATAACGAGAGAAACTCAACTCACTATAATACTCGACTGTAAAATATAAAGAGACGTAAAAAATATATCATTTCACACATACGAAATTGAAAACGACAAAGAAGTTCTAACCGCTGTAGATGTAGAATAGACGATAAGGTACGAGATTAACTAAACAGAACTCGTATTCACACCTGACTAATATTTTGTACGAAAATATCAGTTTCATCAGAAACGGAAACTGAAAGAGTCTGTTTTGCTATGATTTCGCGTGGCCGCAATTATCTGGGATACGATAGACGCTACGAAGTACCATTCGTATGGAAAATCAGCCTTTTGTGTCGTGACAAAACGGACGGTAAAGTACGCGAAGAAGCAAGGTGCGCGATAGAAGGGAGGGAAGTGTAGAAAATCCTCGAGATGTCGGTCTCGCTGCAATTGTAAAAGTTCACGGCGGCGAGTACGAAACAATAACTGCCGGCGAATCATATGAAACAATGGCGGTCGAGATTTTATCTTTCCTTTCCCGCAAGCATTGTCCTTTTCCCCCCGGTTTTCTGTTGTCCCGTTACTCGAGTCGATTAGGGCGCGTTCTTGACAAACAGTTTCGCGCCGCTATCGTTCCTTAGCATCGTGATTCTTAGAAGCGTTTGCCTTTGCAAGATCGAATAGAGCTTGGGAACTGCCGGGGATGAGGATCAGAGAGTGAAGTAGACGGCGCAGCGCGTTATCAAGCGAAGAAACAAAGAAGCTTCCCGTGGCGTCAGCTTCACGAGCAGAAAAGTACTTTGAGAAAAGAAAATCTCCAGTTCTATCGTTTTCTGATAATCTCCTGTAGCACACAGCTATGAAAAAGGATTCTGACCATCCGATTGCGATCCAAGGTGAAATATCGAGATAGTATTACAAGAATTAAATAATAAATAATTTTATGCGACTTTTTATTAGCGAATTCCAAATGATTTATATTTCAGTTCTTAGAACCTTTCACCTCTCTTGTTCATGAATTGACTACTGCTTATCAATTACGTATCATCGTAGTTCTTTCTCAAGAACCAGTGAATCGATCAGTCTAATTTGTCATAAATCGCATAGAAAATACAATCAATCTATATTTATAGTAGAATGCTGTTCGTAGTTCATCCATATTTATAACTTACTCTATTTCACCGATTTTTAGTTATTTAATTTTTTGTTTGCTGGATGGAGATATCCTATGGTAATAATGGTACGAACGCAGGAACAATTTCACGATGATGCCAGTTATGATTAAAATGATTAAAACGAACACAATCGTTAGGAATACCACGATGTCCATGTCGCAATACTGGTACCATGGTTGATGAGCCAAGGTTGAACGAAGATGGGGGATGCCTTTATTGCGAATCACGTACTCAACCCACCATGCTAGGTACTCCACCATATCATACGGGGTATCGTTCACGAGCTGTTTTAGTGCGATTATCTTTTCCTTGTACCTGGAAAAGCCGAAGCAAAATTATACTCTCTTGTAAGAGTACATCGGGCATGCTTAAGAATATTCTAAAACTAGGTTCTATTTACTTTAAACTTAGTTGACAATGAAATACGTTAAACGACAAAAATATTTCTAAACGGTAACATCTTTCTGAAAAATGTTTATTTTTTTATCAATACATAACATGATTGCAAACTTGTCATCAATTAGATAATCCATGATGAAGCATAAAGTGTTAATATAAAAATTGATATTTTAAAACCAAGTAATTTTAAATGATAAAGATTGGATTTCTATATGTATTTAAATAAATAATTTATAAAACGGGAAATATATTTTTGTGTATACATGGTTATAAGTTTGAAAAAAATACTCACTCTTTATTAATTATTATCTCTTGAATGGCAGCATCCAATTCTTCTCTCGTGATAGTTACGATATCCATGTATTTTGCGACACCAAGGTCCTGCATCTTGAGCACTTGCGAGTCTTGATCCCCAAATATCGGAAATCCCAGTAGCGGTACCGAAAATTGTACTGCCTCTTCAGTACTTTGCATACCTCCTTGGTAAATGAACAGCTTAAGATTGGGATGCGCTGTATTACAATGTTTCACCGTTAATAATCAACAGTCGATTTTTATACAAGAGGTTTTCATCACGAGGTACTGAACAACTGAATATCTCTATGGGAATAGATTTGACTCTTCTAACTTTTGAAGACGGTTATGTCAAGGTTATTTCAAACAAAGACGAAGATTATGTGCCATCCTCTGAGACTAGAATTATTACTTATTGTTAGTTCTCAGATTGCACTAATAAATGTTGTATTACTGGTTTCCCCCTGATTTTCGCTCTTGTTTCTTTAAATTCCATAAAGAAACTGACCCATGAAATAGCATTTTTTAAAATATGTTGAAAGAAATTCATAAATCAAATTATAAATGATTCTCAGCATTCGAGTGTTAAGAATAGTCTGTCCAAGATCAGTTCAACAATATAAGATGCAGTGAGTTTGTAACTTCGAAATACATTGTGATAATTCTGTTCCTTTTTTAGATAACGACTACTTTGTACATATGCATTGTCAACCGCTTACTTTTATGTCCGGGGGGATATTGAAAGAGCAAAGGGAATAGTGGGACTTCAGGTGAGCTGTGGACAGTACACTTAATGTACTAAATAGCGTACCATAAACGACTTTTTCTAGGGAAAACCGTGAAAGATGATAATACTTGTCGTCATTAACTACTCACAACAGAGAGTACATATCAACAATAATATCTTATAATTATCTCATGTGATGGAAAAGAATAATTCAACATTTCGAAATCGTTCCGTAGGTGCTGTAGCAAAAGGTCAACATTTCATATGTGTCCTATACTCACAAAAATGCTTCTACTCACAAAAATCACGTTGTCACTAGCTACATCATACATTATTGTCCTCCTTTTGATATCAGTTACTTGCCTACGAGATCAGAACTATCTACAAAATCATCCGTAGCTTGCAAAAGATCTTACAGACAAGACTCACGTTCACTTTCTTCGAATTCGTCTCCTCTCTAATCAATTCCACGTGAATGACATTTGCACAGCGAGAGTACATCTGATAAAAAATGAAACTGTACCAAGAATGCTCTGCTGAGGAAGCCATTTTCCAGTATAGATGTTATCGGGCTTGTTGGGCATATCCTTTTCGAACTTCCACACAACTTTATAAGGCAGTTTGGAAAATACGTCAAGGAAAATCTGTAGGGTCTCTTTAGGCATGCTGGAGCTCATAACGTTGCTACCCAGACTGAAGTAGATGAATCCTTCGGCCGCGTTATCCACAAAGCGTTGTAGATCCTACCAACAAAGAAAACGAGGATAATCATCTGCTTCTGTCGACGAACAACGAAGTTAACGCCAAAAAGGTGCGGCTCGTTACAAAGGCAGGTGACCCGAAGGGCTTGTCGCACGGGATTTTGCTCTACTAAACTTTAGGAACTGGTTTTATGTACCCGTAATAATTCAAAATATGCAAGACGCAAACATTCGAAACTTTGTGTTAAGGGAAACTTGAAAAATGGCTGAGCGAAGTTTGCCTTTGATCAGCTGTTTCACATTATCAACTCAAATTGAGAGCGTTCAAGTTTTAATACCTCTCCTGATACAACATTTTGATCTTTTTCGTTAAAAAGCTAAATTGCGAATCAGAAACTTAAATAATGGTAAATGTGAACAATATATACTGATGTTTTTGTTATTTGCATGATCAAATTAGATTCTTGCAATTTCTGGAATTAGTTTTAATGCGTCAATACATCGAGATTTTCCTCAATGATTATGTAACAGGTACTGAAAGATCATTATTTTTTGTACTGTTTTGCAATATGTGCTACCGCCATAAACATTTAATTTAAAATAGCCTGTGTGAGTTGAATGTAGATCGAATAGACACAAATGATCGATACACACTTTATGTAAACGTACCGCGGGCAAAGGAGACGGGTTCTTCTCAACGTGGAAAGACGTGAAGGTAATCATGTTCGCAGGCTTTGGTTTGGCTGGCGTTAAGGTATCGGCTTGATTGACAAACACAACACTAGTGTTCTTCAGTATGTCGATCAACGGAGGCAGAGGTCCAAAGTATTTTTCCGCTAATTTCTGCTGACGCGGGATTAGATTATGGTAGACAATATACAAGTTCCACCATAATTTAAGAAAATTTCGTAGTCTCCTCCAAAATGGCTGATTCGTCCCTACATTCGCCTCCATTTCCCAAGTGGACTCGTGCGACGGCAACATTAGACCACCGAGTGCGAGTTCATATAATGAGAATATTCTGGTGGAGATTAATCCTAAAAGTAACAGTAAAATGGTAATAGTACTTTTCGTGCCAATAATGGAATTTCCTGCGGAATATAGTATTCGATAGAAAATTTTAATAATCGCTTGTTTTTTGACAGATATCAAATATTTCGATGTTGTGTCTGATTTTGATAAAATTGAATAAAACTCGTAGTAATGAATTTGTTTTGTCTGCGATTTCTGGCTAGTCATCTTTTTAAAATTACGATAAAGAGGATCTGGAATCATCTAATCTTTATATGGCTGATTTAACCTTCGACATATGTAATAATTTCAGTGCAATGTTGTCAACGTCGCGGTGGTTTCCAATCAATTTACTTTCATCTCACTCATTGTATAGTTGTTCATACTCATCGCATGATCGTTTATGCTCGTTTTCATACAAACATAAACGCACACACATTCTATTTATTATTTATTATTATTTTTTTCTATAAATGGGATTCAAAAGAATCCCATTTTTCAATCAGTGTATACAGTAGCTCACAATTTTGATTTCTACATATACACGTGTAATCACGTATCTACTATATGAAATCAGCAATTGTTTCCAAATATGCCTGTTTCAAGTTACTAATTTCTAGAAAGAACGCATTACTTATTTAAGTATTGACATATTCATAATTTTGATAGGTTTAAAATTGAAATATTGATGTATTGAAATGTACACAAGAATGACTACTTCGAATTTTACGAACGGAAGAATGTAGTCATGGCACGACAGTTATGATTGTTAAGGAACCGCATTTCCCTGAAATATTCTACGAAATAGTCCTACCATACACGTTATTTTGAAACTTAGGAACTCTCACGCGAATCCATTTTTGGATCAGGTAACAATCACGACATGATTTTCTCTTGGTGGTCAATTTATCTAAGAATGAGCACAAATATCATGTCTTCGTAAGTCATAATAAAATCCCATTTGTTGCTCCGTTCACCGTTTTATAACGTGGGGAAAAGGGATAACATCACAAATCATATGCAAAGAAAAGATTCCAATTTGTACAGAGTGGTTCTAATTTAGAGAATCTTCGAGAACAAGTTATGTCTAGCATTCGAATTGCACCATTATGCAAAAACATCTTAGAAGAAAGTTGTTGAGAACGTCGTTACTTAATCCGTTTACACATAGTATTGTATGTATATAAATATATCATGTTTTTAAAAAAATGAGAAAAATATATTTTTTTATTAAAAAAAAAATTTCGAAATTTCGCACGAATTTATGGATCAACAAATGCGATAAAACTTTTATTTCGACTATACTTTTATAGCTTCTGTGTCGTTTGCGTTATATAAACCTTTACGTGGAAGAGCCAGTTCAGATAAAAAGGTTGATTTCTCCGTTGAAATAAAAAACAGTCACAGACGAAATGAAGTTAAATTCTCGGGTAGGTTTATTAACCACTTAGCTGCGGCGATCTATTTTTAAGATCAATTTTGTATGCGTTTTATCGATGCAGTTTCTTTTGGTAAGTTGCTCTAGAATTATTTTAAAATGTGTGAAATTTATGAACGTGTTTCACAAGCATTTTAATCTAAATCGTAGGAGAAGCATTATTGTTGTAAGATGTAAAATTGCCATTTCCTTATGACACGTATACACGTCGTCCACAGCTAAGAGATGAAATTCTTGTACAATGTTTTATCAAGTTCGGCGTGTGTCACTGGAATTTCTTTCTCAAACTATCGAAACAAATGTGAAGAAATACCTATTACGGGCGCGTTGAACCTGTGAGCGAAGACGTAGGGAGCTACCACTTGCATTTCTATCATCACAACGTCGAACTTTTGATTACTATTGGGTGCGTAGATCGATTTCATATCCGTATGTTTCAGTACGTTTTCTAAGAAGAAATCGGCTAAATCCAGTAGATGCCTCTCGAGTAACTCAAAGAAATCGACCTTGTCGAATCGAAGCTGCATAAAGTCGATTTCCCTTATTTTCTTATACGATTTGCTGATATCGATCTGTTGGAATGTCTTCGAGTCCATGTTTGGGATCGGATCCGATGTGACGAGCACTATTTCGTGGCCGCGTTCGTGCAACTCGAGCCATAGTCTTCGATATGGAATCTGATGACTGTAAGATGGCATTGGGATAACCACTAAAATCCTGGCGGGCTCTACTTGCTGACCGATACAGAGCAAGCCGAAGACCGAATACATGATCGATAGAGTGAACTTCATAGTGGCAGTTGTCACGGGACTACTACTTGTTGGATCGCACGTTTCCGTGGTTTTGTACGTCGAGCTATAGACCGGTTTACGGCAGTTTTGCCGCCGCGTTTTCGAGTTTGCAAATTTTTTGCAACCGGTACGAAAAGACGTCGACAAAAAAAAAGAGAAAAATATGTTCTCTTCATTCGTGTTATTCAATAGTTGTTACACAATGGAATTATAAATATAAAATATTGAGTTCATTGTTTTACTTCTAGATTTATGGAAGGAGCATTTTTAATTATATTCGCATGACCGTAGTATCTTTCGATGAATTACGTCCATAAATTTCTGAAATTTGAAAGGTAAAGACGCTCTAATGAGCCGCACGGACGCACCAAAGCACACGTGCCTAATGTCCTCCTAGCCGAAAATGGCGACCACACGGAGTAGCGAGACGTGATGGGAGTCATGAGGCGTTGGTTGTTTTTATTCCGCCGAAATCGTTTCATGGAAATTCAAAATGGTGGCTAATTTTGGACTAGTAGGAAGGAATCATTTTTGTCAACAAGGGAAACGCGTTTACCCTACTTCTGCAAGGGTGCCAACATGAGTGAGTCGATTAGAAACAGTCCTACGTTTTTCTGAGCTGATTTCTGCTGAGCAAAGGACAGTAGAAGTATGTCTATAATATATAAACAAAATTTATGTTTCTACTTACTTTATGAAGTGCTTTATTATATGAGAAAACAATTGATTCAATAATACTATCATAAACTATAAAAAGGAGCAATAATTCTTCTAATAATATCGTGTCCGAATATTAATGCGAGTCATTGTATTCACATTTTGGCATGTAGACGGCTGTTGACAATTATTAAATTGATTTAATGACTACGGTTATTATGCATATCTACATTTGCTTTTTGCACGATTTATTAAACGTAATATTTCTACTCTGAATTCTGTTTCTTGGTCAGTAACGAAATGTGTTTTATAATAACGTGCAAACACTGAAAAGAACGTATTATCATCGGTTTCAGGGAGCTCTGATGGTTGATCCATATAATTTATTATTGTTTCTTCGATCATCCGTTTTCTTCTAGCTATAGATCTTCGAATACTTGGAATTTCCACGTTCTTGTTCTACTTTCTTTTTGGCACTTATACATTCTGAATTATTTCAGGATTTATCCTGAATGTTCGTATTTTCTGATACGTCTTAATATAGATGTTTTCCATGCGAATTTCTTGTGTACTGTTTTGTATACGTAAATATATATTTTCGATCTTGACGCAATTTTGCATAATTATCTAATTAAATTTGTTCGTTCTTCTCATAAACATTGAACTTATAATCAAATATAACTATTTTGTCATATACTTAGCGACAGATTGCAGTTTAGTAGATTTGCATTATTCACATAGAATTATAGGTCAACGTTATCTATTATTTCAAGGTAGGTTTGCTCTATAATTTAGATAGCTATGGAAAGTGAATGGTTTCCGATACTAACCGAAGGAGAATAACTCGAAATTATGAAACAATTTGAAACCGTAATTTTCCAAACATCATCAACGTATACTAACTAGAAAATTAAATATGGATGGCTGTATATATTTTAATTATAAGGATATATTTTTGGTAATTCTTTTTGCTATTGACGTTGATTCTTCAGGTAAACAATAATATATATTACAGTTCTCGAAAACCCTTCAATTTATAAAATACGTAACAATAAAATCCTCAAGATACTCCCTAGCAAACTATTACCAGAACAATATACAAACGATTCCCTACGCGAAACCTTCCTTCCCATTTCGACAAATCCGAAGTTACAATAAGCAAGAATAGTAATATTATAATAATATCATGATAGATAAGGTGTTGAACCCTTTGCTGTTGCCGATTTGTTGGAACGTCTTTGGGTCCATGTTTGGGATCGGATCCGTTGTGACGAGCACTATTGCGTGGCCGCGTTCGTGCAACTCGAGCCATAATCTTCGTTACGGAATCTGATGGCTGTAAGATGGCTTTGGGATAACCGCTAAGATCCTGGCGGTCTCTACTTGCTGACTGATACAGAGCAAGTCGAAGACCGAATGCATGATGGATAGGGCGAACTTCATAGTGACACTTGTCACGGAACAATATCATTACGATCTATAGATCCGGCAGAGTCATGGAATCAATTTGGGAAATTAACGAAAATTATCATGCATAGTAGCACGTTCTGCTACGATGCTTCGTATCTTATCAAAAATATAATGGATACAAAGCGACAAGGTTTCAAGTGAGTTGTACTTTTCTTTTTAAATATGAGGAGTGTTTCGTAATTGCATTCCGAAATATGACGATATTTAGTACCTTTTCTGGAATATTTGATTCTGGATCGTCTGGATCGAATTGAAAATTATTATTAACTAGATAACGGATTAACGGATAACGTATGTTTGCTTCAATCGCGTTTTAATAATTTTAATAAGATGAAAATGACTGAACCGTTTGTTAATTGTGTACATGTACTTACAGTTTTCCATTTTATCTACCTACTATCGTTATGTATACGTGCAGTCTGCTGTCTACATGTGATATTTATGCACGGAAAATGTAAAAATATACATATGAAATAAGCAAATATGCTTATTAGATAAGGAATATATTAGGTGTCCTATATTTTCCGTACATACTTCGGAAGTGAGTTCTACAAGTAAAAATAAAACTGAAATGTTTGTATAATAAAAAATCCATAAATGCTTTCTTTAGAAGTAGATACTATTTTATCATGCACGACAGGTAAGTGGACATGATGTGTAGTTGAGAGCTATCTCTCACTGCGGTTAATTTAGAATGTTTAAAAATGTCCCACACAAAGATAAAATTTAGAAAATCAGTTAAAGATTTGCGAAATATTGACTCGCATACCGTGTTTTGTATACATCATACAAGTGGTGATAATATTTATCCTTGTGGATCCATCAGAAATGTAGGTGGTATAGTAGGATTTTTTATACGACCAACAACTGCAAGAGAAGAATCTATAGAAACACAAATGTCGATAAATCCTGCGAAAACGCCTTTGTAATTAACGCAAGAAGTGGGCACCCGATGTATCTCTATGTACACAATGTTACGATGAAAGAAGATGTTACGGAGTCCACGTATTATATTGCTATGTGATGATAATATGCCGAAAAATTTAACAAATGATGAAGGCAAACTGGCGGAAATGTTACTAGGTCTATTGCAGGCTGTAAAGGATATAATAGAAATAATGTGTGGGGAATATTACCCAACAATTAATTAATTACTGCGTTCTCAATTTTAATTACAAAATATAATACATTTATAGGACCCTTGGTCATGAAGATAGTCTTCTAAATACGACGTTAAGAGATCATTGTAGCTTCAACGCAATTTGAACAATATTGCTCCATTCTGTCTATAAAATGTTACACAACGCCCTAGCTCTGACTGATTCAGTAACTACCGAATCGGTCAATCTAATTTGCCATAAAGCGCATAACAAATATAATTAGTGAATTTATAGTTATAATTGTACGATGCTGTTCGTAGATCATTCAAACATCCCAATTTCTGTTTTACCGATTACTAGCTATCTAATTTTTTGTTTGCTGGGTGCAGGTATCCTATGATAATAATTGTACGACCGCACTACCAATTTTACGACGATGCTAGTTATGTTTGAAATGATTAAAACGGACATGATCGTTAAGAATACCACGATGTCTACGTCGCAACGCTGGTACCAAGGTTGATGGACCGCGTTTGAACGAAGATGGGGGGTGCCTTTATTGCGAATCACGTACTCAACCCACCATGCTAGATACTCCGCCAGATTGTATGGTGTATCGTTCACGAGCTCTTTTAGTGCGATTATCTTTTCCTTGTACCTGCAAAAGTCGAAGTAAAATTATACGCTCTTGTAAAACTACATCAGAAAAGCTTAACAATATTGTCAACTTAGGTTCTGTTACTTCGAAATATTTTTTCAGTATGATTGATAGAGGTAAGTATGTTTACTTTGTAACTGATTGACCATATAATGTGTTTAATGATAAGATTATTTTTAATTTCTAATAATATCCCTTCCATATGTTATGTTTTTATAAATATGTAACTTGAACGCTACATTTTTATCAAGCAAGTGGTACTTTACGAAACATAAAGTGTTGATTTAAAAATTGATATTTTTAAATGAGCAAATTTTGAAATACGTATTTTTTTCAGCAAATACGTTATACCAGGAAATATAACTTCGCTTGCAAGGTTGTGAGTTTGAAAATACTCACTCTTTATTAGTTATGATTTCTCGAATAGCAGCTACCAATTCTTCTCTCGTAACAGTTACAATGTCCATGCATTTTGCGACACCGAGGGCTTCCATCCTGAGCACTTGGTAGTCTTGATCCGCTAATATCGGTAATCCTAATAGAGGTACCGAAAAGTGTACCGCCTCCTCAGTACTTTGCACACCTCCTTGATAGATGAACAGCTTAATATTTGGGTGCGCTGTGTAACAAGGTTCCACGGTTAATAACCAAAAGTTAATTTTTATGGACGCTTCAAGATGAACTGTACATCTAAATAACTCTATAGGAACTGAACGTATTACGATACAAGAACGACAAATTTGATCGTGCAAATTGACACCAGTTGGCAATTCTTGTCTCCAAGTTCTTTTGTAGATGGTAGCTTTTTAATACATTTGAAACAAAATCGAAGACTATGAGTCATACACTGAATCAAGCGTTATAACTTTATTTTCAAAATATACTATATATATTTTCTTCTGTTCTATTCTATTCTATTTCGTTGAACTCGTCAAGCTATCAGATACTTGGCTTTCTTTGACGTCACTGTATCGAAGTTTTTCAAAAGATCCTGGAGACAATACCCACGATTACTTTCCTCATAAAAAATGAGACTGTACCAAGAATGCTCTGTTGCGGTAGCCATTTTCCAGTAAAGACGTTATCGGGCTTGTTGGCCATGTCCCCCTCGAACTTCCACACAACTTTATAGGGCAGTCTGGAAAATACATCAAGGAAAATCTGTAGGGTATCTGTAGGCATGCTCGAGCTCCTAGCATTGCTTCCCAGACTGATGTAGATAAATCCTTCGGTTGCGTTATCCAGAAAGCGTTTCAGATTCTATGGATAATCATGGATAATCATTCATGGATAATCATCTGTCTCTTTCAATCAACAACAAAGTTAACGCAAAGGAGTTCATTTTACGCATACGTACCGCGGGCAAAGGAGTCGAGGTCTTCTCGACGTGGAAAGACGTGAAGGTAATCATGTTCGCAAGCTTTGGTCTGGCTGGTGATATGGCATCGGCTTGGTTGACAAATACAACACTAGTGTTCTTTAGTATGTCGAGCAACGGAGGCAAGGGACCGAAGTATTCTTCCGCTAATTTCTGCTGACGTGGGAAGAGATCACGGTAGGTAATATACAACAACCGTGAGAGCTTTAGAAAATTTTGCAGTCTTCTATAAAATGGCTGATTCGTCCCCACGTTCGGCTCCACTTCCCAGTTCTCGTGCGATGGCAATATCACACCACCGAGTGCGTGTTCATTCAATGTAAGAATTCTCATTGAGCTCAACCCTAAAAGTAGATGACGAAACAAACATATTTGTAATATAGAAAATTTTAATGATTGTTTTTTTCTTAACGTAATTTCCACACTGATGCACCACAGAATAATAACTTAAGTAGAGACATATTTAGTTTGCGTTGTGTCAGAAATAGATTATACATTTTTTTGAATTATAAAATGTTCCAACCTTTTGCATCAGTTTGCATCGTTTTATATTAAATGTCATTTTGATGAAACGCAGCTTTGTAGAAGTCATTTTAATTATCACTCCTTGTTTCAGCTTAATTATAGAACTGCCTTGTCATCGATTAAAAGTTATGTCTGAAATTACTCAATGAATCTCTCAGTTATTACGTGCCTAATATTATCTACTCTACACGCTTGTTAAATAATACCGATGAGTGGCATTGCAAGTTTTGTTCTTCATAATATTATTATCAGTGAACGATAGTTTCGACACACTCTTCTTTTATGTTGCCAATTTGTAACATAACTTTGTCACATAACTTTGAATTCTGATTTCGGCGTTATTTTACGGCGTTATTAAGCAGGAAGCTGAAATTATAGGTGGTGTTTCATCCTAAACGAACTCTTTTCTCATGAATCACAATGTAATTTTGCGAAAACAAAGGTCTTACAATCATGCTCTTGACACTCAAACGTGAACGATTTATTAGCAAAGAAGTAATTGATTTTTCACGATTTTGATGACAGGTTATCATAAAAGACTTTCGAAACAAATGCAAAGAAATACCTATCAAGGGTGCGTCGAACCTATAGGCGAAGGCGTAGATGGCAGGCATCGCGAGCATTTCGGCCAATACAACATCGAATTTTTGGTTGCTGTTGGGTGCGTAGATCGGCTTCATATCCGTGTGGTTCAGCACGTTTTCCGCGAAATTGTATGCTTTGTTATACAGATACTTCTCGACGAACGCAAGCCAATCGAACTTTCCGAAACGTAACTTCATAAAATCGATGTTGTCCATTTCCTTGTACGTGTCGCTAACGTCGATTTGTTGGAACCTCTTCGAGTCCATATTCGGGATCGGATTCGTTGTGACGAGCACTATCTCGTGGCCGCGTTCGTGCAACTCGAGCCATAATTTTCGGTAGGGAATCTGATGGCTGTAAGACGGCGTCGGGACAATGGCTAAGATCCTGGCGGCCTGTATTTGCTGGCTGATACAGACGAAGCCGAAGACCGAAAGTACAACCGACGACACAGTATACTTCATGGTGCCAAGAATCGATGATCAATCGCTGGCGCTGACTACGAAATTACTAATCGTTAGATCGCACGTTCCTGTGGATTTAAGTACGTTTATCTATATAAAGCAGCAGGTCCAGTAGTGCAATCTGTAGACACTGCTGCTGAGTCATGGTTTCAATGTGGGAGATTAACGCAAATCATCATGCATAGTAGGGTGTTCTGCTGCAATACTTGAGATCTTCTAAAAATATGAACGATACATCCGGAGTGCCGCTTATCATCGATGAAAGTCACAACGTGTCAACGTTATTTTTCTTTTTAATACCAACAGTTTCGTAATTGCATTCCGAAGTATGGCTATATTTAGTGCTTTCTCGATTATTAACTGCGATAATTAAAACGATTGTTAATTAGATAACGGATTTTCATGAATTTTATGCAAATTACACTTTCCGATAAAATAAAACCTTTTGTTTTTGTTTTATTAATAATTGCTCTCTCTCTCTAATCGGTCTTAAAAGATAAAGGAGGGTTTCCCGAACATAGCGGCTTACAGTTTATTGTAATAGCGAATTAGAATTTTCTAACGTTTTTATATTTCATGCAATACCTCACTTTGGGATTTTACTATTCATTATTAAACCTCTCTAATCAAATCTACGTGGATCACTTTGTACAACGAGAATACAGCAGATACAAGATGTGACTGTACCAAGAATGCTCTGCTGAGGAAACCATCGGGCTTGTTAGGCATGTCCTTCTCGAACTTCCACACAACTTTATGGGGCAGTTTGGAAAATACGTCAAGGAAAACCTTTAGGGTCTCTTTAGATGTGCTTCAGCTCATGGCGTTGCCACCCGGACTAAAGTAGATGAATCCTTCGGTCGCATTATCCACAAATTGTTTTATATCCTACTAACAAAGGAAACAAGGATAATCATCTGCCTCTCTCGACGAACAACAAAGTTAACGCAAAGTCAGTGCGGCTCATTATTAAGGGAGTTGATCCGAAGGGCTTTGCTCTATGGCCAGGTACTAAGTTTTAATAACTGATTCTATGTACCGTAATATTTAAAAATAGTTATTGTTAGAATAAACTTCGAAAATGGCTATGCGAAATTTGCATTTGATCAGCTATTTTACACGTCGCTAAATATACGCATTGAGCAAAAGCATTCTTAAACAATTAACAGTTAGGCAAGAATATCTGAGAGTCACACAGAATGGCGAAGATGTTTCAAAGTGCAAAGACTGTTTACTGCAAGGTTAATATAACAGGAACTGATAGATTATTATTTCTCGTATTTTTTGCAGAATATGCAAAGCCCATTAATATTTTATTTAAAATGACCTAGACAATAACAAAAATGTTTTTTTTATTATTTTGCTATTATTTGGAATGACAGAAAAGAATAAAAAGCTCTCAGTTTTTAACTTTTTAATTTTTAATTTTTAACTTTTTAATCTTTTTATCTCCTTTATTCGTTGATCTTAGTAACTTATATGCATGCTGACAATTTTATTGAAATCGGTCGATGTTGTCACGACTTCAGGATCTAGGACAAATTGGAGGACCTATCCTAATTGCATTTTCAGAGTTTCCACTAATTAAAACAATTGGATTGAGATGGGGAGATCTCAAAGAAGGCAAACGTATTTCCGGAGGCGATGTTTGCAAAACAAAAATATTTTTATTTTTTGTTACATCATTCAGGCAGTACCATCGATGAATGGTCACACATACAACAAAACGAATCGATTAAATCGTGTCCCTGTTACTAGGAACAAACATGGTCAAGTCATACACATTGCGTTGTCCAATTCCCATTCATTATATATTTACGTAAACAGCACATCTCGTTACACATATACTATTAAAGAATTATTTGAGTTATAGTGAACTAAATCAACAATATAAAGTTTGAGCACAGTTTGAACAATTCTGGCTCACTCTGTTCGTAAACTAATTACTACACACCAACAACGTATCTCCCTAGCTCCGACTGAATCAATAACTACCGAATCGATCAGTCTAATTTGCCATAAAACGCATAACTAAATATAATTGATAAATTTATAGTTATACTTAGTGTGATGCTGTTCGTGGTTCATTCATACTTCCAACTTTCTGCTTTACCGATTTCTAGTTATCTGATTTTTTGTTTGCTGGGAGCAGTTATCCTATGGTAATAATTGTACGAGCGCACGACCAATTTCGCGATGATGCCAGTTATGCTTAAAATGATTAAAACGGACACGATCGTTAGGAATACCACGATGTCCATGTCGCAGTACTGGTACCACGGTTGATGTGCCAAGTTCGAACGAAGGTGAGGAATGCCTTTATTGCGAATCACGTACTCAACCCACCATACTAGGTTCCCGGTCATATCGTACGGGGTATCGTTCACGAGCTTTTTCAATGCGATTATCTTTTCTTTGTACCTGGAAAAGTCGAAGTGAAATTACATCCTCTTGTAGAACTACATCAAACATGCTTAACTATATCGTCAATCTAAATTTTGTCGCTGTAGAAAACTGAAGGTGATCTTGACGACTCTAGAGAATGAATAGTTGACAAAAACTTTCGTATTATCATCTTAACCCTTATGTTAATAATTAAAACTGTCGACGTGTTGCTCTAGACAGAGGTACCCTGGTATCCCTATGATGTGCACCTTTATTATTTTACTGTTTTATATAACTCTCATGTAGTTATATAAACATTTATTTTCATTTATATGATACTTATTACAGCAATGAATTATTTTTATCAATTGCCTGTAAAGTATCTATTCCTTCCGACCCTCGCTACAATCTTCTTCTATAAGCGTACGCGGATACCACGGTTACTGAACAAACATTATCAGCGTAGCATGATTAATTGATATTTTTCAAACAAATAATTTCGAGATAGGAAGGATTAAATTTCTGTACGTATTTCAATAAACAATTTGTATGGAGAAATATATTACCGTGTCCAAGGTTGCGAGTTTAAAAATACTTACTCTTTATTAATTATGATCTCTTGAATGGCACTCTCCAATTCTTCACTTGTGATAGTCAAGATGTCGATGTATTTTGCAACACCGAGGGCCTCCAATCTGAGTATTTGGTAGTCTTGATCCGCTAATATCGGCATTCCTATTAGAGGTACCGAAAAGTGTATCGCCTCCTCAGTACTTTGTAGTCCTCCTTGATAGATGAACAGCTTAATATTGGGGTGCGCTGTATAACAATGTAGCACAGTTAATAGAATATCTCTGTGGGAACTGAATGAAATACAATGTCACTAGCTATAAAATCAATACTATAAAATTGTCACTAGCTCTGTCATATTTTTTTTTTCAAATTCAAGATCAACTCGTCATGTCATTAGTTATTTGGCTTTCTTTGGCGTTACTTATTGGTGGATTTCAAAATATTCTGAAGACAAGACCCACAAATACCTTCCTCATAAAAAATGAGACTGTACCAAGAATGCTCTGTTGTGGTAGCCATTTTTCAGTAAAGACGTTATCGGGCTTGTTGGCCATATCCCTCTCGAACTTCCACACAACTTTATAGGGCAGTTTGGAAAATACATCAAGGAAGATTTGTAAGGTATCTGTAGGCATGCTCGAGCTCATAGCGTTGCTACCCAGATTGAAGTAGATAAATCCTTCGGTTGCGTTATCCACGAAGCGTTTCAGATCCTAGCAACAAAGAAAACATGGATGATCATTTGCATCTTTCAACGAACAACGAAGTTAACGCAAAGAAGTACATTTTACGCATACGTACCGCGGACAAAGGAGTCGGGGTCTTCTCAACGTGGGTAGTCGTGAAGGTGATCATGTTCGCAAGCTTCGGTCTGGCTGGCGTTATGGCATCGGCTTGGTTGACAAATACAACACTGGTGTTCTTTAGTATGTCGAGCAACGGAGGCAAGGGGCCGAAGTATCCTTCCGCTAATTTCTGCTGACGTGGGAAGAGATCACGGTAGGTAATATACAAGAACCGCCAGAGTTTAAGAAAATTTTGTAGCCTCTTATAAAATGGCTTATTCGTTCCTGTGTTCGCCTCCAGTTCCCAGCTGTACTCGTGCGATGGCAATACCAGACCACCGAGTGCGTGTTGATTCAGTGAAATAATTCCCAGTGAGCTCAACCCTAAAAGGAAATGACGAATCGAATTTGCTACGTAATATCGATAATTTTAATGATTGTTTGTTTCTCATTTTTAGATGAAAACCTCATATTTAGATGCGTTGAATCAGAAATGGATTATACAGTTTTTTTGAATTATAAAAAGTTTCAACATTATGCATCAGATGTTTTCATGTTGAATGCCATTGTAGTAAGCACACCTTGTTTCAGTGTAATTATAGAACTGCCTTGTCATCGATTAAAAGTGGTGCCTGAAATGACTCAATGAGTCAATTAGTATGTGGCTCATTTAATTTTCTGTATATACATAAAATAGCGTGTCTAATATTATCGCCTACTCTATGAACTTGGTAAGTAATATCGATATATATATATATATATATATATATATATATATATATGACACTGCAAGTTTCGTTCTTCACAATACTATTACGAATGAACAACAGTTTCGGCATATTCTTGTTTTATGTTGCTAATTTAAAGAAAGAATATATTATTTATTTAAGCATTGATATCCTCGTACTTTCAAGAGATTTTAAATCAATACACTGGTATATCATACTTTGAATTATAACTTTAAACAAACGTCTTACAATCGTGCTCTTGACATTCGATCGTGAACGATTTATTGTCAAGGAAGTGGTTGATTTTTCGCGTTTTTGGTGACAGGTTATCGTAAAAGACCTTCTCATACATTCAAAACATTCTGAATAAGTATCTTGTACAACGATATTAAAGAAGATCCCAATTATTGTAGTAAACAATAAATATACTATAGTGCTAAATATAAATTTTACAATTAAATTAATTTTTTATATATCACTTATTTACTTACAGTTTGTCTTCCTCTTATGAAACTTCTTTCAGTTAAGAATTATATTCATATTCGTTGCATAATAAGGATTTTCTGAGAATAATACTTTTTACCCTGATAATTCCACAATAACAGATATTTTTCTGAACTAAACACATAACATCGAATAACAATACAAAAACGACAGTCGAGTTTTATTCTCCGGCTTTGATAATAATTAATTGAAATTCGTGAAGTGGGACATTTTTTATCAATCTTGACTACGTCTTCGGAAAAATCGAACGTTACGTAGCTATTGCAAGTGTCTGATTACTTTTTATATTTAGAGAAGCGTTTACAACCAATTCCCTCATGGAATTATGAGTAAATTTGTTGACGGATTACTGCGACAATAGGAGTAATTTATATGGTTACATTGGATCGTTGTACATTCTAGTATAATAATTTGTGCGTGATTACGTTTTGAATGATATTAGATTTACGTGGTGAATCTGTTTGTTAGGTTTGAGGGGTTATATCTTTTTAGTCTAAAGCCTGGTATCGGCGCGAATTAGCTAGATATGTTGTGATAACTGTTCTATGTGGCGTTTTCTGTAGTTTGATACTTCTTGTTTGACAGTATTTATTGCCAGGTCGCGTTCTGTATTATCTCACTGAAGACATCCTATAGAGCACTACATATGTTACGAAGGGTTTTTAACGGAAATCTTTGTAAAATTTCTATCAGGCATGAAAGGATTGTTGTAAACGAAAAGCTTCGTCCTTCGAATCTATCTTTGATTCATTTACGAAAAAAATTTGCCCATGTATTTAGGGACGTTCTAGTTTGTGGAATTTCCGTGTAGAAACATCTTAGAGGATTGCAATACGATCCTTTTATACGCAATTAAAATAGTTTAAATATCGAAAGTTTTGCGAAAAATCGAGAAATTATTGAACTTTTTAAAGCCACTGTAGGTATGCAGCCGATTTTTTCTCCATAAACGAATCCTTTCACCTCCTTTCTCATAGTAATACATGTATGTAATAGAAATATCGTGATATATGCGTCACTATAAGAATCATGTTTTTACAAAATGAGAAAAACATAATATTATTGAAAATAATTTCGCACTAATTTATGTGTCCCAGAAATACGATAGCAATTTTGTGTGAACTAAAACGGCTAAATTCTTGGATTGGTCTATTAACCAATTGTTCGAAGTTTCATAAATATCGGCGTGTATTACTGGGTTCCCCTTTTTAGACTTTCCAAACAAATGTAAAGAAATACCTATCAAAGGTGCGTCGAATCTATGAGCCAAGGCGTAGAGGGCTGGCATCGACAGAAATTCAACCATCACAAGGTCGATTTTTCGCGTGCTGTTGGGTGCGTAGATCGTTTTCATATCCGTGTGGTTCAGCACAACGTTTACGAAATCAGATCCCCTGTCATACAGATACTCCTCTGTGAACGTCAGCCAAGACATCCTTTTAAAACGATTCTTCATGAAATCAAGGTTGCGCAAGGTCTCGTACGATTTACTAACGTCGATTTGTTGGAACGTCTTCGAGTCTATGTTCGGGATCGGATCCGTTGTGACGAGCACTATTGCGTGGCCGCGTTCGTGCAACTCGAGCCATAATCTTCGATACGGAATCTGATGGCTGTATGATGGTGTCGGGATAACCACTAAGATCCGGGCGGACTCTACTTGCTGACTGATGCAGAGCAAGCTGAATACCGAATGCACGACCAGCAGAGTGAACTTCATAGTTGCACTGGTCATGAGACTACTGTTTGTTGAATCGTACGTCCCCGTGGTTTTGTGCGTTGAAATTCATTTCGAGCTCAGCTGTGGGTGCGAGATGACGTCGACAAAAAAGGAAAAAAATAATGTTCTCTTCATTTGTGTTATGTAATAGTATACAATAGACTTGTGAGTAGAAAATATTGGTTCCATCGTTTCACTTCCAGATTTATGGAAATCTTTTTTGATGAATTACATATACAAACATTTCTCAAAACTAGAGACAGAACTCTAATGAGATACTGTAACGATAATGACTGTTGTAGAAATGATTACTGTAACAATAAGAGGAATGTAAGATATATATTCAAATTTTATAAATGTAATTTACAATTGAGAACAAATGACTACACAAATTACAAATTACGAAACATGCAAATATGAAAAAAAGAACAAAGCAGATAATAAAAGTACAACATTGTGTTGTATTAAAGCATGTTGAATGGCTTGAAAACGATATGTAGCTGATCATCGTAAAGGTGAATTTAAGTAGAAGTATTCTATATTTATATATTCTGCGTAACAATTCTATTCTTAATTTTATTTCTTGGTCGATACAGAAATTTTTTATAATAGCATGCAAACACTGAAAAAATAACGTACTATCATCGGTTTCACGGGGGTTCTTCATGATTATTTGCATTATAATTTGTACTATAATTAACTAATAACTATAATTAACTAGAATTAAATAATAGCTATAATGAACTATAATTAACTGCAATTAATTATAAATAACTACAATTAACTACAATTAATTATAAATAACTACAATTAACTACACAGTTAATTATAAATAACAACAATTAACTGCAATTAACTGCAATTAACTACAATTAACTACAATCGACTATAATTAACTACAGTTAACTATAACTAATGAACTATTACTAACAACAACTCAAAGTTTCAGCACAGTTAAAAGAATTCTGGCACTCTCTGTTCGTAAATCGATTACTACGCGCGAACAACGTATGTTCGTAGCTATGATTAAATCAGTAACGAGGAGTACGATGGAATTTGCCATGAAATGCATAACAATTGAAATTGATGAATTTGTGGTTTTGCTAGTATGATATCGCTTGTAGATAATTGATAGTTTCAACATTCTGCTCGATCGATTTCTAGCTATTTAATTTTTTGTTTGCCGGATGCAGATATCCTCTGATAATAATTGTACCACCGCAGAGCCACTTTCACGATGATGCTAGTTATAGTTGAAATTATTAAAACGGACACGATCGTTAGGAATACCACGATGTCCATGTCGCAACGCTGATACCATGGCTGATGTGCCAAGTTTGAACGGAGATAGGGGGTGCCTTTATTGCGAATCACGTATTCGACCCACCATGTTAAGTACTCCGATGTATTGTATGGGGTATCGTTCACGAGCTCCTTCAGTGCGATCATCTTTTCTTTGTACCTGGAAAAGTCGATGGAAAATTATACGAAGGAAAATTACATCGGAGAAGCTTAACTATATTGTCAACTTAGGTTCTGTTGTTGCTCCTAAATATTGTTTTCAGTAACGATTCGTATAGTTAACGACGTTTACTTTAGAATTAGTTGACAATACCTGTTCAATAAACGATAAAAGTCTCTCTAAACTCTAATGATATCTCTTCGACAAATGTTTATTTTTTCTCGTAAGTACGTAACTTGATTGCGAAATGTTGATTTAAAGATCGATGTTTTTTAAAAAAAGAAATCGAAAAAAATATAAAATGAATATTCCATACGTATGTATTTCAATAAATAAGTTGTACGAGGAAATATAATTTTGTGTACAAGATTGTGAGTTCGAGTACTCACTGTTTATTACTTATGACCTCTCGAATGGCAGCCTCCAATTCTTCTCTCGTGATAGATACGATCTCCATGCATTTTGCAACACCGAGGGCCTCCATCTTGAGGATTTGTGTGTCTTGATCTCCTAATATCGGAAATCCTAATAGTGGTACCGAAAAGTGTATCGCCTCTTCGCTACTTTGCACACCTCCTTGGTAGATGAAAAGCTTAACATTGGGGTGCGCTGTATAACAATGTTCGACGGTTAATAACCAAATTCGTCGATTTCTATACAACACGCGATTCATTAGGTACTAAACAACGGAATCGCTATGGGAATTAAAGTTGAACGATACAAGAGGGACAAACGTATGTCGCGCAAATATTACGCAAATTTCGATTTTTGTTGTCTTCATGGTTTTTTGAAGTCGGCGGGTTCCAACACACATTTCAAACTAAGTTGCAACCTATACGTCATTCACTCAGTCAGAAAGTATTACTTATTTTTAGTTTTCAAACTGTGAATTTACGATGTATTCGCGGGAAGGGGTTTGATTGACTTCTGTTTGACTTGATCAGTCTTGTTTTTCAGAGTCCATACAACGCCTCCTATTGCTATGCAGAGGAATTGATCATCAGTATCGTTTTCAATGTAATGATAAAAAGAGAAAAGAAAATTTGACCGTTTGACCTTAATTTTTATGGTGAAAAATAATTTTGTGATCCATTCTTTTAGCAGATTTTCACTGATTTAGAAGTGTAAAATCACGGTATGGGGGTCATGACATATAAATTTGTACACTCTGTTCAACGAGAGTACAATTGATAGAAAATGTTGCTGTACCAAGAATGCTTTGCTGAGGAAGCCATTTTCCTGTAAAGACGTTTTCGGGCTTATTGGGCATGTCCTTCTCGAACTTCCACACAACTTTATAGGGCAGTGTGGAAAATACATCAATGAAAATCTGTAGCGTTTCTTTAGGCATCCTCGAGCTCTTAGCGATGTTACCCAAACTGAAGTAGATGAATCCTTCGGTCGCGTTATCCACAAAGCATTGTAGATCCTACAAACAAAGAATTAATAGCTGCGTATACTACTATGTCCCAAGTTCAAGGCGTTTGAGGGTCACCCAGCAGTTGTCTGATTGTCTCAGAATTTTTGTACAGCTCGTTTTTTTCTTGATTGGATCAGGATTGAGGTGTTGGAGCAGCAAGATTTCAACTCTCGGAAAATTACTTAGCTAAATTACTTACTTATAGCTAAGGGCCACCCTAACGTGCAGGACATTCGTCCTCAAAGTTAACATAAGAGGAACTGAAATATCATTAGTGGTCGTAGTTTTTGCAATATGTAAATTATCGGTACACATTTTATGCACACGTACCGCTGGCAAAGGAGTCGGGGTCTCCTCAACGTGGAAAGACGTGAAGGTAACCATGTTCGCAAGCTTCGGTCTGGCTGGCGTTATGGCATCGGCTTGGTTGACAAATACAACACTAGTGTTCTTCAGTATGTCGAGCAATGGAGGCAAAGGTCCGAAATAGTGTTCTGCTAAATTCTGCTGACGTGGGAACAGATCACGATACATAACGTACAAGAGTCGAGAGAGTTTAAGATAATTTTGTACTCTTCTCCAAAATGGTTGATTCAGTCCCACATTCTTCGCAATTTCCCAGGTGCTCTCGTGCGATGACAATATCAGACCACCGAGAGCATGTTCACTCAGGCATGTTATTGTCGTCGATACCAGCCCTAAAGGTAAACGAAGATATAATAGTATTTTATGTGCTAATAATCGAATTTAATTCGAATAATAATTTTGTGTAGGCAAAGTTCATTCAAAATTATGGCATTTTCGGGAAATGTGGGGTTTCTGAGATCATTTGAAGTAACATTTTCCTTTACAGAAGTGTTCTCCGAGGCATCGTTAACGAGTTATTAATCTAATCACTGACATATGAGAAGCGAGCTTGGCTAGCGCGAGGCATCGAGCTTCTTAACAAGTCCAAGACATCTTATGCGATATTGAACAGCAGTTGGTCGCCCGATCGTACTATCGGAATTATGCGATCGCAGCCCTTTGCACAAGCTTTACACCTAATTTTCTCACAAGTGACTGCTATTATATATACGGCTAATATTTTAACTGCACTTATTGTAGATATAGATTCGCAGATTTAGCGTTTGCCTGCCAAATTTTGTTGAAATCGGTGCTGGTCATATCGGATGCTGCCCTTGTTACACTATCAAAACACACGTTAAGAAATACCTATCAAGGGTGCGTCGAACTTATGAGCAAAGGCGTAGAAGGTTGGAGATATTTGCATTTCGACCATCACAACGTCGAACTTCCGGTCGCTGTTGGGTGCGTAGATCGGTTTCATATCCGTGTGATTCAGCACGGTTGTCGTCATATAATCAGATAAGTAAAACATATTCTCGTCGAGAAACTCAATCCAATCGACATTGTCGAATCGAAGCTGTATAAAATTGATGTCATTGACGAGGTTGTACCCTTCGCTGATGTCGATCTGCTGGAACGTCTTCGAGTTCATGTTTGGGATCGGATTCGATGTCACGAGCACTATTTCGTGGCCGCGTTTGTGCAACTCGAGCCATAGTCTTCGATATGGAATCTGATGGCTGTAAGATGGCGTCGGGACAATGGCTAAAATCCTGGCGGCCTGTACTCGCTGGCTGATGCAGAACAAGGCGACGACCGAAAATAGAACCAGCGACGGAGCAAACTTCATAGTGCCGAGAATCAACGATCAATTGCTGACACCGGCCGCAGAACTACTCATCACTGGATCGCGCGTTCTCGTCGTTCTAATTATGTTGAGCTTTTTGAAGGAGCAGTATCGGTAGTCCGATCTATAGATCATGCAAAGTCATGGAATCAATTTGGGAAATTAACGAAAATCATCGTACATGGCTCTGCTATAATAATAGTTCGTATTTTCTTTACATTTTTTTTTAAATATCAAGAGCTTCGTAATTGCATTCCGAAATATGATTTTTAGTATTCTTCTTCTGGAATATTTGATTCTAGATCGTGCACGAATTGGACATTATTATTGACTAGATAACGGATTTTCATGAATTTTATGCCAACTAAGCATTTTCTACTTCACAATTGCGCCTTAATAATTAAATTAATAATAATTTATTAATAATTAAAATGAATGAACCGTTATTTCGTCGTGTACATGTATTTACCGTTTTCCATTTTATCTATCTATTTGTTATGAACGCATGCAATCTACCGTCTATATGCGATATTCATGCACGGAAAATGCATATGCGCATGAAATTAGCAAATATGCTTATTAGATAGAGAACATATGTATAGGGTGTCCCATATTTTCCGTACATGCTTCGAGTGTGTTTTCTACAAGTAAAAATAAGACTAAAATGTTTTATAATAAAAAAATCCGTAAATGCTTTGTTTAGAAGTTATGATCAAAATGGAGTTAGCAATAAATTCAATTCAATTTACGTGTCGCGCTGTTCTTGTGTCAACAAAGATGAACGTCGTTTTGAAAAGGAGATGTAGGTATATTTGGCAGCGTTTACGTAATGTTTTGTACTTTCGTCATAAATTATTAATCCAGCATTTATGGACTGTTTGTTATATAACATTTTAGTCTTATTTTCACTTGTAAAACACATTGCCGAAGTATGTTCGGTCTATATAGATTATGACGTAGAAGATTTTGATTACTTGCACATATACTTATCAATATTCGTCAGAATCATTCTTGCATATTGTAATTAGTGCTGCAATAAATTATAAGAATATTTCCAGGAGATGTTATTAACTGATAACCTCTGTCTATTCAAATTTATTTATATGAGAACGACGTAATTGGTCTGTATTTAAACGTGAATCAACAACGTTCTTGCATATTTATATTTCCATGTGACATTTCTGTTGAATAGTTTGAATATATTTCTATACCAATGGTTAAAGAACGCCAATTAAAAAATGGTCATAGAGAGAAAACTCTTTTGCTGGTAAACAATGCTAGACCGCATTCTACATGTGGCATAACCTTAACCAGAAGGACGAATTGTAAATAATGTAACTTAACTCATACAGCCACTAGATGAAATTACTTGTATTTTTGTTGTTGAGATGTTAGAGACACTGATTTATTAACGAATGTCTATACAATTATCCTAGAAAATTGAAATTAGTTGGAATGAAAGAAAAAGATGTATGTAAATTTAAAAATCATTTCATAAAAAAGTAGGAATATAAAAAGAATTTAGGAATAACTGGCGGAAATGTTATGATGTGTGAGGAATATTGACCAACAGTTGATTAATTATTGCGTTTTCAATTTTAATTACAAAATATGATACATTTTTAAGTTATTAAAAATGATGTCATTGCGATATCAATGCTTTAGCATTACCGTTATGAAGACAGCTTTCTAAATACGAAGCTAAGAGAATATTGTAGCTTCAACATACTTTGGACGATATTTCCTCGTTCTGTTTATGAAATATTGCTAAACGTCAACAACGTATTTCCCTAGCTCTGACTGAATCGGTAACTACCGAATCGATCAGTCTAATTACACTCTAACTCAGTCTAATCACTCAAAGATAATGAAAAAATTTAGTAATGTGATGCTGTCAGTAGATCATTAAAACTTCCAGCTTTCTGCTTTACCGATTTCTAGTTATCTAACTTTTTGTTTGCTGGGTGTAGATATCCTATGGTGATAATTGTACAACCGCACGGCCAATTTCGCAATGATGCTAGTCATGGTTGAAACGAATAAAACGGACACTATTGTCAGGAATACCACGATGTCCATGTCGCAACGCTGGTACCATGGTTGATGGGCCAATTTTGAACGTAGATGAGGGGTGCCTTTATAGCGAATCACGTACTCGACCCACCATACTAGGTTTTTCACTAAATCGTACGGGTTATCGTTCACGAGCTCTTTCAGTGCAATTATCTTTTCTTTGTACCTGGAAAAATCAAAATGAAATTATACCTTCTTGTAGAACTACATCGGAGATACTTAACAATATTGTCAATCTAGATCGTGACGCTTCTATCTATTCATTTAATTTATTGTTGACTTTTACTATAAATGTAATTGGCAATAAAATGTGTAGATAAAATATAAGATATTAAACACACATAGAGTGTGCGGATCTATCGACAGTTTTTTTTAACAAAAATATCCTAATGCGAGGATATCTATAAGACGATTTTACCAAACTTTTTATCGACCTTTTTTTCCCAGAATGCCCAGGGTCACCTTCAGTTTTTTCTAGGTAAATCTATAATTTTTGTACATCCATCTTTTAGGGGGTGCTGAGACTAATACACCAAACTTCATAATAAATATTTCTTTCTGAGTATAAAATAACTGAAAAATACGCTGCAATCCTTGAAAATTAATTACAATTTCTATTTCTTCCGAACAAAATTATCCAATGACAGCACAAGTGCTCGATAGGAAATTTCCTAGACGTTGAATTGATCGTCGTGGCGTAGTCAATTGGACAACACGATCTTATTCCGTTAGATTACTTTTCGTGGGGTGCATTAGAGAGAGAGAGAGAGAGAGAGAGAGAGAGAGAGAGAGAGAGAGAGAGAGAGAATTTATAAAGAACTTCCAACAACGTTGAAAGATATGCAACAGAGAGAATTATACAATAATTCAAGGATAGTAAAGATATTTGTTATGAAGTTTTACGAATTAAAACAAATAAAAAATGGTTGTACAAAAATTGTAGGTTTATCCATATCTTATGTCAATAATTAAAATTGCCGACGTTGTTCTATAACCGGGGTGTCCCCGGGATCGCTATGACAAGCTTCTACATTAAATTACTGTTTTATATAACTCTGATGTAATGATATAATAAAAAATAATTATATGATATGATTATTTTTCAAAACAAGTAATTTTAAAAGAGAAAGATTAAATTTCTATACATATTTCCATAAACAATTTACACGAAGAAACATATTATCGTATACAAGGTTATGAGTATGAATACTCACTCCTTATTAGTTATGATTTCTCTAATGGCAGCCTCTAATTCTTCTCTCGTGATAGATACGATATCCATGTACTTTGCGACACCAAGATTCTGCATCTTGAGCACCTGGGAGTCTTGATCCGCTAATATCGGAAATCCTAATAGTGGTATCGAAAAGTGTACCGCCTCCTCACTGCTTTGCATACCACCTTGGTACATAAACAGCTTAATATTGGGATGCGCTGTATAACAATGTTCCACGATTAATAACCAAA